TAATTCTAGTATAATATAATCTTAGTTAGTACTAGTTTAAACGACTAGTATAATTATATATTCGTAAAGTTATAAATTATTATATTAGCCTAGGGCTCTCTCAGAGTAGCCCATGAGCTCTCTTAGAGTAGCCCAGCGAGCCCAGCGGTCTCATAGGCTGCGTAAGACGCAGACTTACCTTGACAGCCCAGGGCAGCCCAGGGCTCTCAGGGTCGCGCGGGAAATTTTGCCGATGTCTAGCGATAAGAGTATTTAAATATCTCTATAGTATATAATTAATACTATATACGACTCTAAGAATAAGAGAAGAAGGAACGCGCCTCTTATGCGGGGAGTATACTAGTAATAAGGATGTACTTCTTAAGTCGCATCAACGCTTAGCTAGTGGCCTAATTATTATCTAAGATATTAGGCGTTCGTTATTCCGATGTTGAGTCGAATCCGTAATACGGAATTCTCACGAAAGACGACGAAGTAAATGGGGACGACGAAAATATTTAGTATCTCGACTTTTAATAAAGTATGAATATGAAGATATCGGGATATGACGTCGCTCTTTATCTTTTGAGAGAGGAGCATATGGTTATGATCTCACAAGTGGACCATTTTGTTCAATAGAAATGGCTAAACGACACCTGTCTCGCCCCAGCAACTGCGGCCCAACGAAGTGCTAATTTGATATTGACCACTACAATATCTCCAGATGTCGTAGCATCTTTAAGCCCCACCTAGACTTGTGTTTGTTATACACCACTGTATACAGATCACAACGAGTGCTTAAACCCTGGGACACCGTCCACGAGAGTGTTGCTCTGTTCAGCGACTTGGTTTCTCCTGCGGTACACGAACGCGAGAAGAACGTTGCCAGCAATGATCACCACAGCCATGGCAACCGTTGTATACAAACCAGGGACATATGTAGGAGCATCCTGCTGGCGGAAGATGTTGCTACCCACTATACCACCAACGGGACCTCCCCAGACCACGACGACGGCCATGATCGATCGCTTAGCGGATCCCGACGCGTTGGACTGTGCGAGAGATATCTGCGCCGGGACGTTGCACTGACAGCCGATGGTGGCCAAAAATATACCAAAGAACCGGACGTGGTTGGAATAATTGGGTCGGATAACTTGGGGACCTGTTAGGTGCGAATCAATAGAAGGGATAGGACAAGTTACGGAGGAGACCGATCAGCAACAAAAGGCTCTGCGCGCAAATGACCGGCGTCCGCATCTTGGTCTTGTCGCTAACGTAGGCAAAGATCCACATTGCGCCCATGGTCGCTAGGTAGGGCCACGCCGAGTATAGACTTGCAGTGAGTCCGGTGTAGCCCATTCCCTGCGAATGGTTGTCAGAAGCTGTGACGACGGTATTGAAGACAAGGGTAGACATACCGTAAGGATTGTGGGCACAAAAAATGCAAGGCTGTATGTCGACGCATTGTTGAACGTGAAGAGCAAGAATTGGAACCAGCTCGTCCAGTCGCCGAGCACCTGTTTGAGAGTTGCCAAGGTGATCTTCTCCACGTTCGCATCGCCACGATCACGCTGCAGCCGGGCCGTGTACACCTCTTGGTCCTCGGATTTGAGAACCTTTGAATTCTCGGGGAACTCCGGTACAGTAAACCAAGCCACGATTCCTAACACCATGGTCGCGGCGCCCTCGAGCTATCGATGACTTAGCTTCGTCTGATACGCTGACTAAGCAGCCTGATATGCGTGTCCGTACCGCGAAGATCCACCTCCATCCTTTCATGTCGCGGAGACCGCCCATGAGTCCAAGCGCGTACGCAAGCACACCTGCAAACGCGGATGCGAGGACTCCAACTGAATATGCCCAGCTCAGACGTCGATGCACCTCGTAACGGCAGTACCTGGACAGAACGAATGTCAGTCTGTGACTCTCGAAGATGCTTGGCTGGAGTCGTGAATGACATACCAGCAGCTGATTATGTATACCATTCCTGGCAGGACGCCACCTTCGAAGGCACCCAGTAAGAAGCGAAGGAAGGCAACGACCCTCCAGTCGGTCGTAAAACCCATGCCGGTGAGTACCGCACCCCACGCGACAATGAGGAAGGGCAACCAGAGCCGGGGGCTGACCTTAACCAGGATGTAGTTCGAAGGCAGCTCCGCGAGCAAGTAAGCCGGGAAAAGGGTCTGGAGGATGACATTATAGCGGTTTCCAGTCAACTGAAGGTCCTCTTGCATGCCCAAAACCCTGGCTGAGCCGATATTGATACGATCTATAATGGAACAAGCAAAGATGATGGCCAGAACAGGGAGGACGTAAAGGTCGACGCGGCGCACAAGGCGGTTCTTTCTGGCGGTCATGTTAGGATCACTGATGACATTGTCGCCCCCGCCGCACTGTTTTTCATCGTCGAGCCGGTCGCAGAAACCGAGATGCTCTACACCACCAAATTTTCGCATTTCATTGCCCCGTTCAGGGAGCTGATGGGCGATCACTGTAGAACACATTCTTTCCACTATCTGGGTATCTACTACTTAGAGATCCTAGTCGACGAAAGAGAGTATATCTCCAATTTTATACCAGCCACATCCCGCAAATCTATGCATTACCCCGTGGATTCCCCGGGTTCTATAACCCCCGCTTGGGCCTTGGCAATACTAAACATGGAAATTAGTGGTTCCCCACCCCAGATTGCAGAGCATTCTTGTTCTCTCAATCCGAAAAGCCGTTCACTTGAAAGCGGCGCACTTGTGAAAGGTGGATCTGCGGAACTCTAGCTCTGAGGCATGGCCTCAAACATGGCCACATGGACTCGAGCCAAGCCATATCTCGCCGGGACCATTGAGGTAGAGCTACCATACTCCACTGAGATGCACTTTTGTTTGACGCTGAACTCGAGATGCGTCAAAGCCCCCAACTACGCCACGTACACTTCCACTTCGCCTGAGATACGGGCGGGGGCGCAACGCCCTCGGAAGGTCTCATGGTACAGTGCAGTGCAGATTTGCCTTGCCAGGGAGCCGCCGTCCTCAGTCATGACATCCACTTGGCCTTAAAAAGAAATGGCACATATTTAAATGCAGAGGCCAAAGATTGGGTTTAAGCGCCTGTGGCTGTCACTCAATACTCTGCCCTCTCTATTACAGACCAGCCCGATCTCGGAACTATGGCGGACTCAATGGCTAACAGTGTGGAAGATGTTTCTCAGCTGCTGTTGAGAGCCGTACACGGCATACAGCGTGAAAATATCTACATGGTTCTGATAGTGTTGATACTTGTTTTTCTCGCATTCTTTGGTTCGACGATTTTCTCAGATCCACGGCGCAAGCACATGCCGCCGGCGCCCCCAGCATTTCCCATCGTCAACCATACTTCATATCACATGAAAGATGAAGCCATCACGAACGCAATCAAGTGGGCGCGCAAGTATGGCGAAATCTACCGCACCAGAGCCGGGGCCACCGACTTTATCTGGCTCAACTCTCCAGAGGCCGTGAAGGAGATCATCGACCGAAAGAGCGCTATTTACTCCAGTCGCCCACCGATGCCGATGGCTTTGGAATCAGCCAGCGGAGGACGTAGAGTGGTCAACATGGAGCACGGCGACCGCTGGCGGACCATTCGAACCATTCTCCACCGTCTTCTGACTCCCAATATGTCAAAATCCTACGCTCCGGCCCAGCTGTATGAAGCGAAACAACTCTCAGTCGACATCCTGGACAACCCTAAAGGTGTGTTTCGTGCTTGGACCTGCTCTGACCTGACCGTCATTCTAACCGGACACTATCCTTGCAGATACTTATATGCATAACCGACGGTATACATCTAGCCTGATCATGCAAATCACTTATGGCCGACGGCTTCCACAATGTGCGTGTGTTTTAGCAGGTGACTTGCATTGCAATACTAACCTCTAGAGTAGGGGAACACCCGGATCTCGAGAAGATTTTCCAGGTCCTCCAAAGATTCGGCCATATTCGACGCCCCGGAAATTGGCTGGTCGACAGCTTCCCAGCGCTCGCAAGGTACAAACTCTTCGACCTCGTCAGCAACTGGAGGGCGTTTGGGGCGGAGATACACCGCAAAGACTCAGAGGTATGGATGTACTTCTGGCGTCGAATGCAGGCAGAGGCCGACCAGGGGACGGCCCCGCACAGTTTCGGTAAAGCTTTCATGACCGGTGACTGGCAGAAGAAGGGCATTGACGAGCTCCAAGCGGCGTACGTGTTGGGCACGATCATTGAAGCCGGTGCCGAGACGACCAGCATCCAACTCAACAATTTGATCGTGGGCGTGCTATCCCGTGGGAGGGAGGTCCAAGAACGTGCCCAAGAGGAGTTGGACCGGGTTGTTGGCAAAGAAAGAACCCCGACCTTCGAAGACGAGGAGAAGCTGCCCTACATCAGGGCCATGGTGAAGGAGCTCATGCGCTGGAGGTCTATCAACAAGTTCGGAACAAACCATTACGCTATGCAGGACGGTTGGTACAAGGGTTACTTCATCCCCAAGGGGAGCGTCATCATGATCAACACGTGGGGCATTCATTACGATCCGAAGCGGTTTCCCGAACCGGAGAAGGTAAAGATAAACCCATCCCGTTTCTGAAAGCAGTTTGCGTATATATGAGAGAATCAGTTCGCTTTATTCCGGTGCTAATCGCAATGCTTTCTTCCAGTACGAACCGATGCGCTTCATCAATCACCCCTTGTCCGCGGCCGAGGCGGCCGCCACAGCAGACCCGTATATGCGTGACCATTTTGCCTACGGCGGTGGCCGCCGCATCTGTCCCGGCATGCACGTCGCCGAGAGGAGTTTGTTCATCAATATTGCCCGTCTGATGTGGGGTTTCGACCTGCAACTAGCAAAGGATGAGAACGGCAGCGATATTCCCGTGGACGCCAGCTTCAAGACTGGATATCTACCTGGCGGGATGGCCATTGCAAAACCATTCGTTTGTGGTGAGTAAAGCCGAGAATGATTTGCATGCATGTTTAGGGCGTTGCTCTCGATTGTGCTGACGTTGTGTTGAATAGATCTTCGCCCGCGGAGCCCGCATCATGCCGAGGTGCTGCGTCGAGACTGGGAGGAAGCTCAGGCGAAGGGACTGGAGATGTCACACATCGATTATAGACCGGATACAAAGCACAAAGACTGAGGGGTTGTCCTAGTCATGAAATGTAATATTGTTTTGGTCTTGATCTTGGTCGACCATGTGTAGCCTCTACCAACGCTGTGCTTGTAGTGCTCGACCAATATACCTGTGGCAAATAACCGGAGAGTAATGTATAATGCAGCGGGAAGCAAAAGAAGCAAAGACCAAAGGAGGTCTGGGCGGTGAATGCCAAAGATGAAGATACATGGTAGATTATCAAGTTCAGTTGAGTGCGTTCAAAGCACGAACATCAAGCAACCAAAAGCGGCTTCGACAAGCCCGATATAAGGATCACCAGATGGCCAAATGCTTTTTTCATGGTGATTTCAAACGCATGTAATAGACGGTCTACTACTAATTCTATAATTGCATCATTGTCATGTGGCAAGCAGCCTAACCAGCTCGCAGACATCTTCCATTGAATCCAGCTTCCAGCAAGTCTCGATGACCTTTCTGACTTTCTCCCTGCCTAGATACTTCTCGGTCTGGTTGAGGAATTTCTCCTCCAACTGTACCTTGGTCATAGGGTTGCCCAAGGAGCCAGTAGCATGCTTGATGTAGACTGTCCTCGTCGCTTGAGGACTATTCGCCTTGCTGGACGACGTGAACGTTAGGTAAGCTTCGTCGTCGCGCAGTTTGGGATCTGTCTGGACCGAAACCCGGTCCCGAATGCTGTGAACGAGAGGATCGTTGGCCGCCACGTCGTCCGAAAACTCTGCCGGGGTGGCACGGCCGTAGACCAGAGCGACGGCGCAACCATGGTACAAGGAGAAGATGGTTTCGAGCCCCGTACGGGGATGGCGGACGTTGCACAATCTCACAAGCTGTGGATTCGCAGTGACTTGGATCTCGGCCAGGTCGTCCAGGCCTCGTGGCCCTTCTGTGGCTTTGACCTCGCCGTTGATGGAAAACGAGCGGAAGACCTCGAGGCAGGCGTCGATGAGAGGGTGAATGACGACGCCACACGGGTATGGCTTAAATGCGGTTGTCAAGATTTGCCACGGACCTCCCCTGGCCAGTTCGCCGATGCAACCCGTGTCGACCGTGGTGGACACGAGTCGTGCCCACGCCTCTATGGGTGCAGGACAGCTGCCGAAGTTGTGTTGGGCGAGCTTTCCGGCCACGATACCGTTGCGCCCGTGAAGGCCCACGTGCAGTGTTTTGGTGTCGGTGCCGAACACAGCGCGTGTACCCGAAGCCATACTTGATGCATGGCCCAGGGCCGCCGCAAATTGGTCCGGAGTGAGTTGTAGAAGCTTCGCAATGCCTCCAGTGGCACTGAAAGACCCGGTCGAGCCTGTAATATGCCTAAGTCTCGTCAGCCACCCAGAAGTCCTCGCCCATATATGCCTGACATACTAACCAACCGTTGTCATAATGTGATGGAGAGATCGCATTTGCGACTGCAGCTTGAGTCTCGAACGCCGCCACAAATCCCAGGATCAGCTCCTTCCCCGACAGATGGTGGACTTCCGCCCATGGCAACACGGCCGTGATGGCGGTACAAGAGGGGTGAATGACAGTGCGAAGGAGAGTGTCATCATAGTCTCCGGCGGTGGCCGCTATTCCGTTGAGAAAAGTGGCAGTCTCTACATCTGTCCGCTCCGGGCGGCCCCAGATAGTGGCTGCACCTGGTGCCGACGGGGTTTCTACAGATTTGTCAGGTAGTAAGGCTGCTATGGCTTTGCGCCGTGGTGAGGCGTCCGAGGAGCCTATTGCACAGCCGATGATGTTCAGGATCGACGCCTTTGCAATGTCAACAACTTCTTGAGGTAGCTGTTCGTACTTGAGCTGGGACAGAAATGTCGCCAGCTGGCGAGTCTCGTCCTTCGCATTGGCCATGGTGAATGTGTGAACAAAGTGATGTGTCTGGCCCCAGAGCCGTGGTTAATAGAACCCAGCGGAAGGTCCAACTCCGGTATACTCTCCGGATCGCCTACAACCCTGCTGGACGTCGGCAATCACCCATGAGAGCATCTCACATCTCATCGAAGTTGGTGCGGGGGCAAGCTAGGGAGGTGGGGTGGGTACATTTCGTTCATGCGGCGGTGCACACAGGGGAGAACTTTCCCAGATTGGAGCATGGTATTGGCAGTCGGAGGCATTGTCCGGACCCTTGTTGAGATTGACAATTAATCACATAAACGAGGTTGTCTCGCGAGGGACTCTCTGGTAGAGCCAAAAGAACAAAGTCGTCCATTTGTGACCAGTGTTCGCCGAACTCTGCCGACCATGGCCGTTGCCCCACCAAAAGTCTACCCAGACATTTACTCGTTCTTAGCACCAGAGAACTTCAAAGATGTACACGCGGGAAAGCTTGTGCTCATCACTGGAGCCGGAGGAGACATTGCGCAGCAGATCGCAAAACATTTTGCCCTGGCAGGTGCTACTCTCGCGGTGACGGATATTTCGCTCGAGAAGCTGGACTCCACGGTTGAACTATGCCGAGAACGAGGAGCAGAAGTGGCTCCGTTTGCGTGTGACATAAGCAAAGAAAGCGGGGTGCAAGGATTAATCAAGGCCGTGCAGGGCCAGCTCGGAGATATCGATATCCTCGTCAATGCTGCCGGTGTCTGCACTTCCAAACCCATTTTCCTTGATTCATTCGCTTCCATCTGGCGAGAGGTCGAGATCAATCTCGGAGGAGTGGGCAAATACCAACTCTCTTCCAGCCGGACTCAAGCTGACGATCCATACACAGGTGCTTCTTACGACGCTTAACGTCCTTCCCAGCATGAAGGCTCGCGGCCGTGGCTGCATCATCAATCTTGCGTCGCGTGCTGGGACCGTGACCGTGCCTTACCTTGCTGGCTACTCGATTTCCAAGGCAGGCGTGATCAAGGCAACTGAGAATCTCCAGAAAGATCTCGACGCGGACGGCCTGGGGGACAACATCCAACTGTATTGCTGTCATCCAGGTGCCGTTTTGACCAGGTTATCCAAACGTCCGTCCGTCCCCCTCTCTCGATGTCACTGTTGCTGACCAGCGCCGGTCAGGTCCCATGGATCCGGTGGTCGTGGAGGCGTATCCCCGGCTGGCAGCAGGCCGACCAAAATGGCTCCAGAACTACCGAACGGCTGTAGATCTGTGCGCGGCAGCCTGTGTTTTTGTGGCGACGGGGAGAGTGAAAGACGCCTTGAGGGGCAGATACATTGATTGCGAGCATGACTTGGAAGCGTTTCTTAGCCCTGAAGCTGCAAAGGAGATCACGGAGAACGACCTGCACGTCCTCAAGGTGGACTTCTTAGGGGGCCTACCTAACGACGGAGGTACATCTGCAGGTTCATTCCGTCTGGATAGTGATTAATGAGGTGCTGGCTTCTACGTAGAGCCCGGGAGTTGGCCATTTTTGGTGCAAGTGCGTCCAGTTACCTTTGAACGCTGTAGCGGCAGACAGCCGCTTGTAGTCAGTCACACAACAACTCCGCCAACTACGTGCGACATCAGTAGCTAACGAGAAGACGGAGAGTGCACGGGTGTCCACCGGATCCAGGCGTTGGACGAGGTCATTACTCGTAGGCGACAACCATATCGTCGATCACGAGTGCTATCAAGCTTATTGAGTTCGAATTACACGCCCTCCCGAACACCCATAATACACACCAAGCCCAGTTCGGCAGCCTACTATTTCATCCTGAGACAATCCAGCTCCTTGTGCACGCGCAGGCAACTTAACAGCTCCGTCTTCTGCTCCGGACTCCGGACCTGCTCTTTCTGGGGAGGCAGCAACCGGCAGCACGTGACGCGAACCCCCAACCCCTGTGACTCGATGGAGGACATGCTAGATTCCAGAGAATCCCCTGGGGACGTCTGACCTATATACTTCTACCGTGTGTACTAGCGCGGACGTCGGCCTTCGCCCGAGACGTAATCACGTGCGGTCATTACATGGCTTGGCTCTCTAGCAGTCACACCCCGCATTTTCCTCGAGCCAGGTTTCGCGGCCTTTGCTTACGCTGGATCTTCTGCGAGCCTCATCATGAAAGACCTCGTCCATTCTCGTCGCATCGTTCATCAACAATAAACAGCCCTGCCCTATGTCATTGGTGACGAGTGCGGCAAGCATCCACCACTGATGGCTGTATCCGAGCGGAGCCTCCATGATCAGGTTGTGCAACGCCCAGCTCACGAGCCAGTTTCACCCTTAGCACGACTATCTCAGAAGTCCGGCCAGGGCGTGCTACGCTTGGGATCCAATCTCCGCCGCCGGCCAGGAGCCAGGCGGACGTGTAGTATATGCGGGCAGGTCTTTTCGCGCGGCGAACATCTGCAACGCCATGAACAGTCACGTAAGTCCAGTTGCGCACCGCTTTCTCTTCGGTTTGTTGCCCAGAGAAACCGCTGTCTGACGCGCCCATGTCTTTCAGACAGAAACGAACGAGAACACGGTTGCCAGTATTGTTCGAGCAAATTCACACGAAAGGATACGTTGCTGCGCCATGTCCGCAAGTTTCACCCAGCTCGGCCACCGACCGCCGGCAACCCTTCTCCATCGTCACTTGGGAATCAGCAGCTTCCGGATCTAGCCGCCACTGACATATCGGCCTCATCTAATCTTGGTCAACCTGGGGTCGAGCCGTCGAACGAGGGCTGCACGAACGGCCAAGGTCAGATCCTTGTTGACGAGCCAGGAGAGCCGCGAGAACCTCACGGTATGGACCATCCTGACACATGGATCAGTTCGGCAGACTTTGAAGAAGGCTCGCGTCGTGGGAGCATTCAGCAGGCCCCAGGCGTGAGCAAAACCCCAGATCAGAGCGAGAACCAGACCGGTGGGAATGTCGATGATATCAACCTTCTGGGAGAACCAGCCGCTACTGGTAGGCCCAGCGACATGCCCACTAGAGATGCGTCATACTTGATCGACCCTTTCCTAAGCGATGGACAGGATTTATGGCTTCCCAATAATGCAGGCGAATATTTTCAGCTTACTGAGCTCGACCTGGACATGACTCTACGCTCGCCCTTCCTGTTTCCAGAATCGTATCATCCCATCCACTCTCCTCAAGCTGGGCACACGTCGCCGGGCGCAAGGTCAATGCCGGACGCTGCCACCAAGGCGACGTTGGACGGAGGCGACGGGGCCTCTACCTTTTCCTCCGAAGGCGGAATGGAAAGTATGCTGTCTCCGCCGGGAAACGTGGAGCTGGATATGAACAAATTCATGGCCCGCGTCCACTCCTTCGCCGCCTTAGCAGGAGACACGAATCGTTTTGTCCCTCCATCGAGACACAGAGCTAGCCGCTATCTTACGGCCTACGTCCGCTATTTCGACCCACACACTCCTCTAATTCATTTTGCAACCTTTCGACCCGCAAGTGCTTCTCGTTGGTCGCTTTCTTACCCCCCAAGGGTGGCCGAATGTTGACCTGGTCTGGCAGCTCCCTTAACGCTTATTATCCTGTCTATCGGCGCCTTGTATGCCGGCGAGCAGGAAACTGCCATGACTCTGTACAGCATTAGCAGCCAGCTGCTCAACGCGGTACATACCCAAGACCTCCCTCGTGCTGCATACCGTACTGATTACTTCAATAGCACGAAAATAACAGTGCCTCCACCAGTCCTGACGATCGTGACCCCCTCGATCTTGTATGGAGATTGCAGACTCACGTCCTGTTGGCTCACTTTGCCATCTGCCGTGGGGCAGATATACTCCTTCAGGCCGGTCTCAGCCACCTTTTGAAGGCAGAGTTGGTATGTACTTCATCTACTGAAGCTTTTAGTCGTTTGTCAGGCTAAGCTCGCTGATTGAGCTCTCAGATATTCCGTTCTGGAATGCCCAGGGACGCAACACATCATTCCTGGCATGCGTGGATCCGGACTGAATCGTTCCGAAGGTAGACCTCGCTTCACGGTATCCCTATAGGTTGCTAAACGTGCTCAGGGCGAGTTCATGGATCTTGGTACTCTGTGCGGCTTTTCTCGCGGATGGCCAGACAACTCCGATCCCTCTACCGAATTTGGAAGAATTCGACCTGACTCTCCCAAGCCCGCAGGACGTTTGGGTTGCAAAATCAGAAGAGTCTTGGGGTGCCACTTTGAAAACAAGCCAGGAGGGGTCAGCCCGGGTGGAATTCTACCCTGCCCTTTCTATGCTTCTTCAAGGTACCCAGGTTACTGCTCCTGTGAGCCCATTTGGAATGCTGTCACTGATAAGCGGCCTTGTAATTCACATCGTTACGCTGGAGCGGACCACCAACATGTGTTTACCTGGTCTCGCTGCAGATGTCGATCAAGCACCGTGGGTTGGAACTATGGACAAATCTCTTCAGGCATGCGAGAGGATGTGGAAAAGTCACCCGAAAAGTGCCACAAATCCGCTCTACTGGAATGAAGACCCGCTCATGACAGACTACGTGCCGCTTTTGATGATAGCCTATTACCACACCTATGCTTCTCGATGGCTCAAGCTTCTCAAGGCAAGTCTTTGCGATACCCTGGGGAACCGGCTGTCTTTCATGAAAGCTCAACTATCATCAAGCCAACGACGATCCGCAGATCCGTCGTCCCCCACGGGCTCGCTCGCATCGCACGAGGCTCTTGTGGATATTTTGATGCCGCGGACGGAGACGCAATGGAGCACTCTCTACCGCGCTGCCAAGTTTGCCGCTGCGCATCTGTCGCTTCGGGCGAAAGTGGGTTTCAAGCATGTTGCGCGTGTGGGACCTCTGGAAATGGGTTTCCACTACGTGGTTGCTGGGTTTGAAGGAGGTATGCCGTCCCGTACAATTCTGCTAGCCTGTCTAACCTCGAAAGCCATTCTACTTGCGTACTGGATGGCCGCAGCCAGCAAGCAGCAACGATCTGACGCAGATACACGGTTCTTACGGTCGGCCGTGCACGAGATCATGGAGGAGATGGACGACCCGATCTATAAAGGCGGTGCGTTCGCCGCTGCGCCACTTGGCGCGCTGCGCTCAATGATGGAGAGTGGATGGGTTTGGGGCTGTAAGTTCCCCGTTCTTTCGAACTCCCTCGTTGTCCCGTCGCTGATATGGTGCTCTCAGTCGCTCGCTCAAGAGCTGAGCAGCTGCATAAGATGGAAATTAGACTCCAACAATCTCCAAGCCGGCCGGAAGACATGTCATAGGAGCCGGGTTGATCGAGAGCAGGAGTGCTGTCGCAGTGCTTGCATTTAGTGGCAGGGCTCTGACTACATAATTCATGCCTCTCTGTCGCCAATATTTCCTGCTTTCACAGATCGAACGGTCACCAGTCTATCAACCACCGAATTTAAACCTTTGTACGCCGACATGCTAGAATTTGGTCATGACATCAGTCGGGACGAAGCTTGCGCCGGCGCTCCACAACCGCATCGTCTTCAAAGTCCGCCATCCAATCTGGTGGTAAAGCCAGACCCCAGACCCGCCTCCTCGCGGCTCTCTGGTTAGCGGGGACTTTCAGGGCGTCGTATAATGCTTCGTCTTTTTCCCTCATATCCGAGGTTGCATGAGCGATATGCTCCATCATACCGAGCTTCTCGGCCATTTCGTCGTGATTCCAAATCCCATTTGGATCCAATCCATAGCCTCCTTGCTGCGCGATGCGTTTGAACTCAATGGATTGTCGATTGGTCTGTTCCCACCATGTCTTTCGGCGCAATTCACTCCATCTATCAAGCACCGACTCTGGTGCGCCTCTTTGTATTACAGCGGTTAATGCTCTCGCCATTGGACCTGCATCTAAGATGCCGGTAGTCAGACCTAAGCCGCCGATCGGGTTGTTCAGATGTGCAGCGTCTCCGGCAAGTAATATACGACCTTTGCGGAAAGTGGTTGCGCAGCGTTGATGAGGCCGGTACTTATTGACCTGTTCAACGCGGTAATCTGTTCCAGGCCCGGGAAGGATATATTTGTAATGCTCCGGAAGCTCTGCTCGGATCTGAGCGTCTGTTAGTCCTGTCCTGGTCCCGTAGGCGACGCGCCAAAGCCCTTCGTTGCTGATCTTTCCGACAATCGCCCAATGCACCGGGTCAATGATGAAGTTGCGGTTGGTGTATTGGTATTTTTCAAAAGGGTAATAGACATTGGTCGCCACGAACTCTTCCTTTGGCCAGGTGAATCCCTCGAACCCGATACTAGCTGCCGTACGAACGGTACTCCGCCCGCCGTCAGCGCCTACAAGCCAGCTTGCCCGAACCTGAAGCGTCTTTTCGCTTGACTCCGATGCGGTTTGTTCGAGTGTCACGACCACGTGCTTCGCGTCGGCTTCTGGGACCACGTCGACTACTCGGTGGCCAAAGACAATGGTTGCGGAGGGTTCCTTTTCCAAATGTGAAAGCAAGAGCCTAGTTACCACAGACTGAGCGCAGTTCAGGCCAGTCAGAAATGGCTCATGACCTTCTTTAGTTGCAATTGTGGCGACATGCTTCTTTTCAGCGCCTAAGCCTGCCCGCCACCAAGAGATGACTGCATCCGTGACACTGTGTTCCAGCACTTCGTCATAAATGCCGGCCTCGACCATCTCCGCCAGAGCACAGGGCTGGAAAGCTATTGCACGAGGCGAGCGGTCGATATCGGTATTGGTTTCGATCAAAGTAACTTCAATCCCATTGCGGGCCAATAGCAACGCGGTAAAGGCGCCAACCGGCCCGGCACCGGCGACGAGGACCTGGGTTTGAGAGGGAGCCTGAGCGCTGTTGTTTGAAGCCATTTGGGAGAGAGTGCTTGAAGAAAAAGAGATGACGGTTGGCGTCTCTTGTGGTTGATCTATCTACGTCTACTTCCAGGCCATTGTGAGCAAAGCTAGGAAATACAGTATGATGACCACCGCGCCACAGAAACTCGAAATACAGGTTCTAGATCCCTGCTATAGCGAAATGGTCACTAAACCCCGGTAGGTGTATACTAGGAGGTTCCACAATTTCCAGACGCGGGGCCCCCGCATGACGATTTCGAAACTGCCCCCGTCCGCAGTCTCCCCGCCTTGATGGTTGGAAACAAGCCGACGAAAACGCCCGCCTGCGGCTGGGAAGGCATCAACCTCGACGCCCCCGCTATTATACAAATGTTGGTGGAGCCTTCACAGGCCGAGGTCACGCAAGAAGCGAACCTGTCGGAGGGGTTTCCCGCTGCCGGGTCAGCCTCTTCTCACGAGAAACTGACCTTTGACACTAGAGGAGGCCTGCTTAGTCGTCTGCGTCCTTAACAGCGCACATGAGCATGCTTGTTACGAAGAAACTCAATCACTCAATCACATGACAAGCTATGGTCTGTGCGAACATCTTCTCGAAGGGATCCTGTCGAAGACCCTCTAGCTGGTGAAGACCAAGATCTCGTTCCCAGCTATAACTTCTCCATTCTTGTCACTCGCCTCAGATACCCTGCTCAGTGGATTTTGTCTTGAAGCATCACATCCTTGAAACCAATCTTGAGGTATGCTTCACAAGTCTCTATGCGCTTACTGTCCAACCCAGGGTCTGTCCCAGCCGAATTGACCAGATCTGCGTCGCTGCGAGGACGATCAATCGATCATCAGCAAACCCAAAGTTGGCAATGTGAAGGGGGTCATCCTCCACCCGCTTATGGACATTGAAGAGGCCCAAGACCTTGCCCTGAGGGTTGCGCACAACGACGCCTTCCCCTTCGGCCGTCCAGACTCGTCCATACCTATCGACTTTGATACCATCAGGAACACCCTCCCTCGCGAGGGCGAAGAGTCTTTTGTTTACAGGAGTGAGCGTCTCATCGAGGTCATAGGCATAGACTGCGGGAGACCCGGTGGCGTTGCCTAGTCCTCGACCTTGCAACTCAGAGATCGGAGTGTCGGTGACGTACAGCTTCGTGGAATTTGGATTTGTCGCAAGGTCGTTTGGGTCGGGAATCTCTGCACGAGAAATTACCGCTTGCAAAGACTGTGCCTGCGGATCAAACCGCCACACCGTGCTAGGCAACTGAGTTGGTCCCGTCACATTGTGCAGAACGTTGCCAAAGCTATTGTCCGTGAAGAATAATGCGTCGGCATTAGGCCTGTGCGCCCAAACCACATCGTTGGGCGAGTTGAAATGGACGCCGAAGTAGCTGTTGACGACGGTCGCCCGTCAGGGGGTCGATGGCCAAGTGGGTAATGTGAGTTTTGCCAGACCAGGTTTGACGTTAAATTCAAGGTGGAGAGATCATATTTGGGACTTCCACGCTGGCGCTTACTGGCCGGCTGCGTCTGGCACGAGTCTAGGTTCCCTACCCAGGTTATCGACGCGGCACCCAGACTCTGGAGAAGAATATGTACAAGTGGACCGTCTGGTTGCCTCTCTCGCGTCTTTGAGAAAAGGCTCTTGTTCTATATGCATTTTGCACTGATTCCAGGAGCACGGTGTCAACCACTTGAAACTAGGCAGAGACGTTTTTGAGTCCGTAAGCGTTGCAGGAATGCCCCGCAAATGACCCTCGGAACGTCTATCTTGCTCAATAAACTGATACATAATTATACGTTGTTGTCGTCCCGTTTGGGAAGCCAAACCCCACATTCAGCCCCAGGACCGAATGCTGAGTTGGCAGGGAGAACCGCTAAACTAGAGTACTATATGCTCAGGGACCACGGCCACCAGCCGCCGCAAGGCATGGAGAAAAGCTTCCCTCGCATCTGCCGTCCTGTACATATGAAGAGACATACTTATCCTTTGCCATCGACACCTCTGCTCATCACGCCACACATTCGCCTTTGATTTCCGGCCACCATTTGGCAGCAAAACACTTTGTTCTCGTAACACAAGACTCATTGTGTGTACACTTCACAATGGGTTACGGCGTCCTCGAGTCCCGCAGTGGCATGAAGCATGTCCCCGGCACCAGCCTTCTTGACACTCACGACGTCGCCTGGATAGAGCAGTCGACACACTTGAAAAGGGGCACAGGAAAGAACTCCCATATCCTGCTCGTGCCACAGCCATCCAACAGCCCTAATGATCCGCTCAACTGGCCACTCTGGCAGCGAGACCTCATTCTCGTAATGTACTGCTATGCCACCGTATTGTGTATTGGAGGGTCAGTCCGCCCCAATTCCACAAGGCTTGTGCTTGATTTTTGGACTAACCGGGATGCAGAATCGGTCCCATTCTGTCTTCGATGGCCCTCATCCTGATCCAGGAGTTCGGAATCAGCTTTACTCAGGTCTCGCAGCTTACTGGTTACAGCCTCTGTGCGACTGGTGCGGTCGGCATATTCATCTCCGCGCTGGCTCGCAAGTATGGCAAACGGCCCTGCCTTTTGTTCTCTGTCACATGCGCCTTTGCCGGTACCCTCTGGGGTGGGGCCGCCAACTCCTACGGGTCACTACTCGGTGCCCGCATCGTCCAGGGCCTCGGTGTCGCTATGTTCGAAAGTGTTATGTTCTCCGTCGTGGGAGACCTATACTACGTTCACGAACGAGGCTCTCGAATGGCCATCTACGTCACTGCGAACTCGGGCATCGCCAACCTGCCGGCCATGCTTGCGGGGAAAATTACCGTCGACCTGGGCTGGCGCTGGGTTTTCTGGCTGCTGGCTATTTTCATCGGAACCGCATGGGGTGGGGTCGTGGTCTTTGGCTGGGAGACGGCTTACATCCGCAACGCGATCTACAACATCGACACTTCTTCACAAGAGGTACATCGTTCGGGTTTCTTCTATCATGCCCCGGATCTCTGACTGACACTCCGAGCAGAACATTGAAATGATAGAGGAGGTTAAAGAGCATACAACACATATCGAGGACGACCAGACGAAGGGCAGCGGCACCGCGCAGCCGCCGAATCTGGAGAAGACCGCCACGGTTTCGACCACCGCCACCGTCAAGAAAGACTCATTCTTCAAGCGTATGTTACCCGTGACCGGGACGTTCGTCGAGGACTCGATCGCGAAAATGGTCCTGAGGCCCTTCTTCATCATCCTCAATCCAGCCGTGGTTTGGGCCGTGGTTTTGATCGCCTTCCCAACATTGTGGCTGGTGGGCATTTCCTTTGTCATTGCTCAAATCTTCAGCGCACCTCCTTATCTCCTCAAAACCGAGGAACTGGGTTACATGTCCGCCGGACCCGTCGTGGGAGGGACACTCGGGTGTCTTGTAGCCGGTTGGATCGCCGATCCGATCGCCAAATACATCAGTCGCCGCAACAATGGTGTGTACGAACCAGAATTCCGACTGGCGCTCATGATTCCCTCGACCATCCTCTCCATCCTCGGGTACTTTTTGTTCGGTGGTCTCATCGAGGAAGGCAAGCCTGCCGCCGGAATGGCCGCCGTTTGGGCCTTGCCTCTTGCATCACTTCAATTCCTGGCGGTCGCCATCGGCAACTACATGGTCGACGCGTATAGAAACATCAGCGTCGAGGTCTTTATCATCTCCATGGTCTTTAAGAACTTTTTGTTTTTTGGGTTTTCTTGTAAGTCTCGCTACTATTGGATTTGCGGAAGACAATTCCAGCAGCATTTACTGATCGCATGCCAAACAGTCTTCCTGAATGACTGGGTCGCCGCTTGGGGTCCCAGAAAGTTCTTCAACGCCATTGGCGGTATCCAGCTCGCCATGTGTCTGACGACCATCCCGATGTACATGTTTGGGAAACGTCTAAGAGCTTGGTGGCACGCTAATGATGTATTGAGCAAGATCTGAATTGATGTCAAGGTGTTGCTCGATTGGCATTGATCACAATTGTTGCTCCTGAAAAGGAGAGGCGTAGACTGGGTAATGCCTGTCCTTTTCAGCAGACTGTGTCTTTCGGGCGTGGAACAGGCAATGTGGACCCGGTGCTGGCTTGTAGAGTTGTAGCCACGGCTGTTTTCTGGAGATTTGTTGAGAGCCACCAGCGTTACAATGCGCCGTTTCCGGTCTCCCAACACCCAATATCTATCGCAACTTGAGACTTGCTTTGCAATCTGCCGGCAGCAGACACTCAATTATCTTTGATTATCTTCCCAAGTCTCCCAACCTCTAACGCTGTGTTGCTCCGTGTTGGCCAGACTGTACGTAGCACCAGTTTCAATGTCTCTTACGGTCCGAATCACCTCTCGAGAACAATGTCGACAAAGTTCCAAATAGCCCAAAACGGCAATTGAACGAAGAACGAGGATCCTGAACTGATTCGGAAAGTACTACGGAGTACACTGGATTGGCGATAGCGATAGCACTCACCTACCCTACCTCTTGGCCAAATTCTAGGACTTGTGTTGGCTCCGGCTTTTCAGCCTGCCCCCCAAAGACCTTCTTTCCGGAGTTGGACAAGTATTCGAAAAAGGTGACTGATCTAGGAAAGAGACCCCCCCGATGTCCTTGCAACAAGGACAAGAGCCAATTCCACTCCTTCAGCCCATATACAACAACGAGCAAGAGCCGAGCTCGACAGAGTCTGCGGGTCGAACGCAGAGCGACTGCCTGAGTGGTCGGACAGGGTTGATGTTATACACAGATTGAGAGTGGATCTATCTGCTTGATTGTGTTCTGTCCCCCTGGCTGTTCAGAGAGACTCTGTCTGTTTATATACACTTTGGCCTGTGCTCGAAAGGCCGTTCCTAAAACCTCCTACTCCGTCGCCATGCTCTCGCAGACCGGCGAGAACAACGGTGTGGCGCAGTTGGTGGACCAGCTAGCGTCTTAGATGGTTTACCACAGTGGCTACCTTGAGACCCTGTCAACAGTTGATCTACCATATAAACCGCTGTGGTCAAGGAGACTTTTTGATGGAGGCCCAACGTCGCCGAGATAGGTGCCCCGACCTCTCTCACGCAGAACGACGAGTACGAAGGGTACAGCTTTCCCAAGGGCACGGTCTGTGTGTAGAATGCCTGGGCCATCGCCCTGAACCCGAAGGAATATCCGGATCCAGAACGGTTCTATAACGCTGATCTGAACAAGGCGCTGAAAGGCTATTGGGCTTTTGGACCAGGTAAGTCGAATCTTTTGACAGCCTTCCTCAAAGCCTACTAGTATCTTGCCGAATACGCCTGTCAGAACACGTGTCTGTGTCGGTTGGGCCGTTAGAGAAAGCAATGTTTGGATTGCAGCGGCGAGGCTATTGTATTGTTTCGACTTTGTCGAAGGCAAGGTAAGTCCTTATATGTCATGCCTACTCTCAAGTGCTTTCCTTGTGTATGGCAAGAGTCTGACCAGTCACATTCAGGTTCAACCAATCGACACGATGAATATTCCTCAATTGACGAAGAACAAGATCCGTTTCATGTAAAGATCTCAATCCGCAGTCCGGCTCATGCTGGCCTAATAGAGCGCACGTGTCTAGACGCTGTGATCGCCGACTGAGGATTGACTCTCAGGTGGAGGAATCAAAATGGCGGGTGGGGGGAAATTGCCATGTTGGGAAGTGGGGATGACAGCGCATGTGGACATTCCTGCTCGTAGATTCACGTGAAATGACAAACACAGGGGTTTCCTCTCAGTTTCAACCGTCATTCCGGGGAGAGTGTCTAATGGATGTGTTCCCCACGCAGAACCCACGGATTAGCCATGTTTCGATGCGCGGGTTCTCGATCCTCTGCAGCTCAGCAGGTACATGTTCACTTTCAGCATGCAAACAGAGTTTCATGTAGCCTGAGGTCCTCCCCCAGGCAAGAACGAGCATCTCGCATCTTGACTACACGTACAACAGAACGCACTCTAGGTGTTGTTCGAGATGGCAGCCGCCGATTCTGTTCTCATTCCCCAGGCGGATGAAATCTCCATTGAAAATGCGCGGGTCGTCATCATCGGCGCCGGCCCGGTGGGATTATTCTTAGCGTTGAAACTCGCAAAGGCAGGAGTTGATGTCCTCGTCCTGGAGGCAGAGGGGCAGGTGTCTCAGAGTCCTCGTGCAACTACGTACGTCTGTATTCCTCCAGTGATCTGGACATTTATGTCAAGCGTTAACACTGGCTAGGTATATGCCCATTGTGCTCAACGAATTAGACAAGATCGGGCTGTATGAGGATGTCCTAGAAGCAGGATACACAAACACAGAAGGAATCACGTTCCGCAAGTCCCACGCTAAAGGTGGTGACGTCCTAGCTCAAATGAGAATGTCCCAAGTACCCAAGGGCGTTGTCAAGTACGATTTTGCAGGTATCCACCTCGGCCAGCACATCCTGGCCGAAATCATTTTGTCGCATTGCAAAAAAGAACCAAAATTTCGAATACGCTGGGGCCACCGCTACGTCGGCTCGCGGCAAGGGTTAGAGTCGGACTCTGTCAAAATCATTTGTGTTGGGCCTGTCGGCGAGAAATTCTTCAGTTGCGATTATCTCGTCGGTGCAGATGGGGCCGGCAGCGCCGTGAGGCGCTCCTTGTGCATTCCATTCGAGGGCTTCACCTGGTCGGACTTCCGCTTTGTCGCAGCCAACGTCAAATATGACTTTGACAAGTACGGCTTCGCAACGGCCAATATGGTCGTGGATGAGGAGGACTGGGCCGTCATTGCACGGACAGGGCCTGGGAATGATCCGTGGCGCGTTGCTTTTGGTGTGCGGACCGACATCCCAGAGTCTGAGATTTTGAAGAAACTCCCCGAGAAGTTTGAGAGTTTATTCCCCGGACCGAGACCCTTGAAGTATGAGCTGGTCAGTGCGAATCCGTACTGGGCTCATCAGCGGGTGGCCGCGACCCTTAAAGTTGGCAAGACCTTGCTTTGTGGTGACGCGGGACATGTAAGTTTCTGATCTCCTGAATGAGACTTGCACGTAGCCGACGAGAGTACTAACAGTTTTCCCAGTCTAACAACCCCATTGGTGGCCTGGGCCTAACCACGGGGCTACTTGATTCGGCGGCTTTGGGGAACTGTTTGATCCGGATCTTCCAGCATAATGAGCCAGCGGATCCTTTGCTAGAACGATATGCCCAAGTCCGCAGAGATACGTGGATCAAGTTCACCAATGCTCAGTCAATTGACTTCAAGCTCAGAGTCCACTCATTCCACCCTGATGTGGAGGCTGCCAGGAACGGGTTGTTCTATGCACTAAATACTGACCCGTCCATGCATCTGAAGATGGCTACGATGATGAATGAGATCACGAAGGATGAGTTTGCGCTGCCGGAGTTGGATGGACTATCTCCAACAGAGGCACAAACAACCGTTGAAGACAAGTAGAGAAGTTGAAATCAACCGTCGGATTCTATTTAGGTGTCTTCTGTCATAGATTTGGAGCATCTGGCCTACCTCGCGATACAATGTGAGCCTCCTGCCTTTTTGCATTTCATGAGAATGATGTGGTAAAACCTCATGTTGTACACCGAATGAGAGTGGATTCATCTGATTGATGGTGTTTTCGCCTCTGGCTTTTCAGAGAGACTCTGTCTATCTATATACTGGTTGCACTGTGGCAACAAGCGATCGGTTGAATAGATCTGGACCTGGCCAGGTCTGTCCAGACCTCGTTGTCGATCAACGGTGACACCGAGGATATTATAGAGAGGCCTCGGTTGAAGCATTGGTGGATTGATTGGTTTGCTACAGTGGCGCTCTGCTGTCAACAGAAGTCACCTCCAAATGTAAAAGCGGCGGACCCCTAAAACTCCTCGGTAATCCAGCGCCGGCTTCCCCAATAAATTCCCCACGCTTCCGGATCGTTTTGCCAGCCGACACGCTTCGGATCCGGAGGCATTGAAGGATTCGCGCAATGGTTGATGATGCAACCTTGTCTTAGATTCTTCAAGGTTAAAAAGCCCCATTAGACCTTGTCAAACTCAGTCATCATAGCCGAAATGTTAGCAGGAAGGGCAACCGCCCTTGTCGGTGCAGGGACGCAAGGTCGACGTCTGGCATACATGGTGAATATCACCCTCAATCTGCCTCGGGTTCGAATCCGCACTGACCGGGTCCGGGACAAAGTGGTCAAGTCAGGGCCGGCCGGTTCACCTCATTGACGCCCAGGCGAAGCAGCTTTCTGAGAGTGTCAAATACATTGACCACCTCCGGTCTACGTCCCAGCGCCCGAATGCACGATGGGGTGAAATCAAGACTTTCAGCTCGGACTCGTTGCCTGCGGGACTTCGAGATACGTGGTTGATCGTTGAGGTACGCAGCGCAATCAATCCAAAATATGAGCTGAAATGTCGACATGGAGCTGACCAATGTGCCGAGGGCAGTGCGTGCCAGAGAGACTGGAGCTCAAGCGACAAATGATCGCTCGGCTCGACGAGCTGGCGACACCTGACACCATCATCGCGTCTAACTCGAGCAGTTATAGCATATCCGAGATAATTGACGGCTTGAAATTGTCCAACGACCGGCGGATCCTCAGCGCTCATTGCTGTAAGCACCACTTCTGGGATTTCCAGGTTTAGGACAAGATGCTGACAAGCTGGCTCAACAAAGACTGGCCTCCGGAGACCTCTGGTGAGTTAAGCTCGAAGTGATTAATGCATCCACTGACCTCTGCTCAAGCGATTGAACTCATGGGTCATGCAAATACTGATCCTGCAATTATCCCACTTCTTATGGAGCAGTGTCGAGAGCATGGATTCAGTCCATTCCATGTGAAGAAAGATTCCATGGGCTACATTTACAACAGGTCTGCTATCGCCTCTCCGCGCTTTCAATTGTTTCTTGTCAGAAGCACTAATAAAATTCCGTGGGAATAGGATTTGGGCAGCAATCAAGAGGGAAGCGTTGCTCACCGCAGCGGAGGGCGTCGCTACTCCGTCCGAGATAGATGCGATTTTCAAGGACGTCTTGAAGACACCCAAAGGTCCTTTTGAGCAGATGGATGTCGTTGGCCTTGACGTTGTGCTCAACATTGAGGAGCACTATGCAGAAAAGCGGAAAGACGTCCCTCTTGAACCTCGAGAATATCTGCAGCGATTCATTAGCGATGGTCTTCTGGGTGTCAAGAGTGGACGGGGCTTCTATGACTATGAAAAGTCGTGAGGTAGTGCGGGTTGTGTATGAATCCTACCGAACTAGTCCGTACAAAGGTGTCAAATGTACACCGAGCTTGACCGAGTTAGTATCGAACGAAAAACCTGTCCTCCATCTTCTCATTATGATTAAGCGCTCGCCGCTTTGCTCACCCTTGGCTCACGTGCTACTCCCTGAGTAATCCGTGAACGATCGTGGAGTTTTGCTTGAGCCTTTTGAGTTCCCTCTCCCTACGAGCTGTATCTCGGAGAAAATTGTGCAGTCTCCACGTAGTGACCTCCCTTTGCATGTGCGTGCAAACCCTCGACCGGTGCATCGACGCGGTAATTCATCGTCTCTCTCAAATCGCCCAGGAACCAGCAGGCGATACAGGCGACTACTCCAAATGGAATTGCAATGATGAAGACAATCCGGAGGGAGTCTGCATACGCCTGCTGCAAAGCGCGAGCTCCTTTGGCAATGATGGTAGAAGTGACACCAGAGACTTTGGCCAGTGCCGCAGTGTCGCCTTCGGCCAGGGCTGTGATGAACGTCGGAAGGGATGCGGTGGGCAATCCAGCAGCCAATGCAGCCTTTGCCAGATATTTTGGCAAGTAATTCTTCAGGCGCGTGTTGAAGGCAGCCGCATTGATCCCTGAGAAAACGGCGCCCGCTAGGGCGCGTGAAGAGGTTGTACGTGCCGTAGCCGTGGCAATTAATTTGTGCGGCGTGGACAGCTGAACACCGGTAACGATGAGAATGAGTGGGGCGCCAAATCCGATACCGGTGAGGCAAGAAAATGCGATGGCGTTGACAAATTGGCCTGGTTGAATTGTAGAAAGTCCCACCAAGCCGCTGGTGAAGAAAACAAATCCGATGAGCAATGGTTCGCGAATAGTTCGGAAGCGAGTACTAGCATACCCCCAGAAAACGGTGGAGAAAATGGCGGGAATCCAGCATGCCTGTAAACGAGCGACGATCAGGACGGGATCGGTTGTGAACAGAACTTGTGACCTATTTTCCAATCAGCATGTTGATACCGTGGGCATCGAAAACGTGAGCCTGACAGGATCGGATAGAATAGGGCAAAGCTAAAAATCATGACAGCCTCCATGAAGAGCAATGCGACGCAGATGGCGAATGTTCGTCCCTTGTTACGGCCACCACGGAATAGATCATGGTGAAGCATGCCGGTCCTCGTCCCCTTCCACTCATAGATACCAAAAGCGATGAGCGTCAGGATTCCGATGATGATGGTTGATAGAGTTCTCGCGTTGGTCCAACTGTACAGACCGCCTCCGAGACTGGTGCCTGTGATAAAAAGAGCCAATCCAGCAGCGAGAAGCCCGCAGCCGATCAGATCGATGTGGCTTATCTTGCTCCAGAAGGAGAGATGGTCAAAGTTGGTATGTCGTTTAGGTGGATGGTAGCCCACAAACAGTGCAATTGTGGTGGCGCCCCAAAGGGCAGCCTGAAACCACTATGTCACAATAAATTAGCTATATAAGGAGTGCATCCCGCCAGCAACCGTCCAATACTTACAAAAAACAAGCGCCAGCCAGTGTGGGCGTTGCGCTTAGTCAAAGCACCGATCATGAAAGGGCCCGAAATAGTCGCAAGGAGGGCTGCAATGTTGACCCCGGCTTGCGCCACTAAAACAAGGCATTTCTCAGATTTTCGGTAGCCAGGGTGCATATAGTTAATATGGTTGTAGCTTACATGGACGCCACCTCCGAGGCAGAATCTCGCTGGGGACGGCATAGGCTAGGGGCACGGATGCGAAGCCAACGCCGATGAGGATGTTGGCACCGATGAGTCGATAGATAGTGCTGGATCTAGGGGCGATGCAGGCCTCGATAAATGAAATGACAGAGGAGCCTACAAGAAATAGCTTTCGAGCTTGGAAGGTGTCAGAAGCTGTTGAAATAATTGGCCCAAGGACTCCCTGGACGAGCGAAAGCACCACAACCACCCAGGTTTGAGCTTCTGTATTGTGGAGATCGGTTCCAATGTAGGTCAGCTGGAAAGTCGTCAGCAGTGATCGTCTGCAAATAGGTGTAGACTTTGCCCCCAAGCTGCCAGCACTTACAACAGCAGAAGGACCCTGAAGGGCCACAGCCTGGGTGTAGTTCAACAGGAAAAAGGCTGCCAGCGCGATCCAAGTGCGGGCATGGAGTGTTGAATGATCAAAAGGTTGTTCTCCGTTATTCAGTACGGGGACTACGGTAGACTATATAGACAGTACTGGGTGGCTGGGCTGGATCACGTGACTTTCCAACCTTTTTAGTTTAACATGGAGCTCTGGCTCAACTTCCTCCTCATCGAAGCTTCTGTTCGGAGCCGACAGATCGACATCCTCTGCTTCCTCAAGCTCATACTGACCAAGGCCTTTCGAATCGATTTTCGTGGCTGGCTGGACCGTATGGTCGTGCACGTCAGCCATGGCCAGCAGAGGGTTGCGTGGTCGGATTTCTGGTAGGGATTGGGCTTGAGATTTTGCAAAACCGGGGTCACTAACAGTATCTTTGCCCAAAGCGGAGATCCAGTACAGAGGATTTTCATTTTTAACGGTAAAGCTTAGCGAGAAGGGATAGCATCCCATTAATAACACGGTCATTGTGGATTCTGAATGTTAGTACCCAGTACTCAGCGATGGAACCCCACGCGGGGAAAAGTGGGCCCGTACCGAACTGTGCCTGAAATAGGCCACCGCCGGGTCTTCCGCCGGCACTAATACCCGGCGGCTGCTTGCTTGGAAATCGATCCCGAGAGTTGATAGGTCAGCCGATGCCTTAGGCCAGACCCGAAACACCCATGAGCACTGAAAGGTCTTAGATACTTGTATTTAGACCAATTGCAGATTAATTCAAGTGCTGTCGGCGTGTGGCATTGGGTAGAGGCAACTTCAAGAAGTCTCACCAAGTGACAGCATGGCGACTAATGTCGGCGGCATCGAGATCCTCTTCAAAGAAGCAAATCGCGACTTCAGCCAGCGTTGGTATCAATTTGGTCCCTCCAAACAAATTCTTGCCAGCGGATGGCGGAAAGCTGAAGGAAGACGTGCATTGGACGAAGACCTGTTGTTTGAGAGAGACATTCGTATCCCTCTGCGAGACGACGCTATAATCTGGGCGGATGTATTTCGACCTGTCCAGTCGGACAGTCAACCTGTTCCGGCCATATTGGCATGGAGTCCTTATGGAAAGCAAGGAAATGGTGCCTTGCTCCCCCCATTTCTACCCTTTAACACGCTGAGTCTTTTTCTAAGGCTTCCAGAGCCTTGATAAGGTCCCCTGGCGGGCTGGTATACCAAGAAATTGGACCAGTGACCTCGAAAAATTCGAAGGCCTAGATCCAGCGGAATGGTGTCCTCGAGGTTATGCGGTTGTCAACGTGGATTCTCGTGGGGTATTCGACTCTGATGGAGACATGTATATGCTAGGAACGCAAGTAAGCATGCCGGGAATTGAACATATCTAGGTGTGAACTATCAAGCTGAACAAGTATTGTAATCTAGGAGGGTCGAGACGGATATGATGCCGTTGAGTTCGTCGCTGCCCAGCAGTGGTGTAACGGGGCCGTTGCTTTTGCCGGCAACTCGTATCTAGCTGCCGCCCAGTGGTATGTGCGAGCAAGAGAGTGATTTTTCAGCTCTCATTAGAGAGGCCAGAGCTAATCAGTCTTATAGGTTTATTGCCGCAGAGCGACCTCCTCATCTGAAGGCCATTGCTCCCTGGGAGGGTATTGCAGATTACTATCGTGAACTGCTTGGCAGAGGCGGCATCCCGAACTATGCCTTTGTCGACTATCGTGGGAGCGGCTACTGTGGTGCGAGACACTCACTCATATTCTTTGACAGGATGTCAAATTGCTAAAACCTCCCAATGTCAGGCAAGAACCGGCAGGAGGATACAGGTGCCATGACCCGTCAGTATCCGCTTTGGAACCAGTATTGGGAAGACAAAAGTGCAAGATTCGCTCAGATTGATGTTCCCATTTACGCTTTGGCGAGCTTTTCGACGATGCTGCACACCGAAGGTACCATCAGGGGCTTCTTGTTCTCGTCATCCAAAGAGAAGTGGTCCGTTGTGCCCGTTGTTTCCGAGGTACACGGGTTTTGAGCTAACATCTCTGACTTGCGAGAATAGGCTCCGAATCCACCACACTCAGGAGTGGTATGATATGTACCAGAAGTGGACAATCGATGACCTGCAAAAGTTCTTCGATCGATATCTCTACGGAAAGGTCAATGGCTGGGAGTCTACTCCTAAAGTGCGGCACAGCTTGCTCGGTTTTAATCGTGAATGTATTGTGAACAGAGCTGAGCCCGTGTACCCACCCAGCTACGTCAGGCATCGAACTTTCTTCTTAGATGGCAAGACAGCAACGATGAGCGAAGGCGGTGCTCCCAGTGAGGCTTCTTCGACTGCCTACCAATCCGACTCCTGGGATGACGACGGCGCGCACTTCGTTCACAAATTCAGCACCTATACCGAACTAATCGGCTACTCCCAGGTCAAATTGTATATGTCCTGCGCTGAAGCCGATGATCTAGACGTCTACGTCATCTGTCGAAAGCTCGATGCAGGCAGCCAGCCATTGATGCAGTTGAACATTCCTCTCGATGCTCTCCCGGCAGGGACCAAGGCCGAAGACGTCCCAAACCTCAACATTTTTAAGTACTTGGGCCCGAATGGCAGACTTCGAGCTTCTCACCGGCAATTGAGCGCTGACCCGACTCTCACCGAGGAGCAGACCGCGATGCTTGCCCCAGCGGTGGCGTGGCATCCTCACGACAGCGAAGACAAGATTGCTCCGGGTCAGGTTGTTTGTCTCGACATCCCCCTGTGGCCCTCCGGCATCATTTTCGAACCTGGAGAGTCCATCCGGCTAGAGATAAAGGGCCATGAGGTGACGCTGCCAGAATTCCCTGCTCTGGACTGTATTCCTGGAAATCTCAACCGTGGCAAACATGTTGTCCACACCGGGCCGGAGTATCCCTCCTCAATTGTGCTGTCTCTGGCCTCTAGTGATTCTGCTAGATAAGGAACTAGGTAGCATTGAAATAGGAGCTAATTAGTGCACACTAGATTCAGAAAGACGAAATACCGTCTCCTAAGCAGATCAGGCCATGCCTTCTAGATAGTCGAATTTAGACAGTCACAAGATTCTTCATACTATGTTCCCAGAGCGTCGATCTCATGAGCCCACTCAGTCCAGAACAAAGCCTGCTGGCTGTCATCGAATGGATATGTGTTAAGCCAATCAAGGTCGCCCACAGTCTCACCAAGACCATCACTTTCGATTTCCTGGGACTGTGGCAGTGTGTCAATGTTGTCAGACTCTTTTTCGCTCTCCAGGTAGACGGGCGGACCTAACGCGTCATCGAGACCCGTATCCTGGAAAGCTAAGGACTGATATGCAACCAGGGCCGGCTGGGGCACTTTTTTTGCTCGGGCGAGTGTTCGCTTGATGATGGCTGTCGCACTTCTGGCGACTAAACAGTCATCCATAGCTTGGAGTACCATGATCGCACGGTCAATGTGGGCGAAAAGATTCTCGAGTGCTTCTCGAGTTCTTGCAAGCTGACGAAAGACCAGGGCGAGAAGTACGCTAACGGCATACAATGTATAGGTCGAGTTGTACCACCTAGAATAAGTGATTAGGAAGGGTTAGTTGAATTGTGGAATGAATCTCCCTTTCGTCACTGGGAGTGCCGCGGGCGCATACCAGGTCTGAAAATAGTCATCTGTGCGAAATGTTGAGTACATTAGATCGATTGTTTCTTCTGCCGCTTGGATACACCGGCATCTGCATTCTCGAAGGGACGAGGCCACGTCCGACTCGGCTGATTTCGTATCAGTCATAAATACGGCATGGGTTACCATGCGAAGGTTGAGATAGCCTGGAGCATGGTCAGACTAAGCTGGGCTCGAAGCTGACTTTCTCCCCAATGCTTACGAAGTTGCAGCACGACAGACTGCTTCTTGATGTAGCTGGCGAGGCGCCGCGACTTCAAGGAGAGCCCCGATTCAGTTTGTTGCTCAGGCCGAAGATGTGGGGGAACTTGTTCGAGCCAACGACCCAACTCGGCGTCGAGTGCTTTTGCTCGTTGGAGCTTTTGTTCCATTTCGCACGGCTGTGCGTACAAGTCGAGCGCCACTTTGCGCATAATTCGCGACAAGTCAACCATGCATGGAACAATCTGCAGAACGTGGGGACTCGAAATTGATTCTTCTAAAACTGCCGGAGGAAGATATTGTGTGTGGTATTGATCGGAACCTAGGCTATCGGGCCTCCCCAAAGCAAAGCTCGTCTGTCTATCCGTTCTTAGTGCTGCGCTCTACTTTGAAGTTGACTCACCATACATGTCAAGGCAGTATACGGCCCTACTCAGCTTTAGCGACTTGGTGACGGGAGAATTAAGCCTCGGGACATCCTACCACCACGTTTTTGATGCTGCCGCTGAGGCCCGCGGGTCAGCTGCATCTGGCCTGACGGGGCTTCGGTTGATCCCAATTGCCAGTGAGGTTCTTGCCGCTTGGCCGGAATATAGATACGCGACTAAAGGGAGGTGTGAGCGAGGACAACACAAAGGGTAAGGTTAAGCGCCGCGTACCGTGAGGATTGAGCTCGTGCTGACATATTTTGCTCTTCGCTCATCCGTTTTCGTTAGTGCTTAGAGACATTGCCGTTCTTTAGCGGGGAGGATAGCATACGATCATATAGAAACACTGGACCATTTCTACATCTGTTGTTGTGCCAAGTCTGGTTACGATAGCAAGTGCGTCGTTGAACAGCTTGCGGCTCCACGTGAATCGATCTGCCCCAGATATTTTGGGGTTTTCGAAAGTCATGACGAGGCTGCCCAAGCTCAAAGTGGCATAATAAAGAGCGACAAAGGATAGTGGTTGTTTATCTCGTCTGTTGAACCATAGATCTTCGCAACGAGCGAGGAAAACCTCTTCTTCAAACAGAGGCTGGATGTAGTGGATGTTAGAGAAGTAAGCATCAAGGAATTGCCTCGCTACACGGAAATAGAATCGATCAGTGTTCGAATTGTCCTCCCGTGGTGCTACAGGGATACTGTGTGACGTGTTGGGTTGGAAATCAGTGTTGTGCAAACGTGCAGTCAACGATCGTTCTGGCGGTCCAGCTAAAGGACCTGTCTGACAATTCGATAACGTTTCCACATGGCGGAGAAATGCGACCGATGAGGCCGACCCATAAAACTCCAGGTTGCTTGTGTGGAGGTTGGTAGCCAGCAGATCCGACGCAGTGTCTCGAGGTGTCACTATAGTACATGGGGTGAAACTATTCTCGTCAATGGGCGGTGGGACATACGCTTCGCTTTGCTGCTGAGTTTGGCCAACAGGAATGGAGCGTGACTGTGAACCAGGACTCACGGCGAGCATCGCCGTCTGATTGACATTGTTCGGCCCAAAGTTGATGGTGTCCGATATGGGCCCTTCAGTGAAGCGTGGAGAGTTGATGTTTGTAACGTGTCGTTCAAACCGTGAAATCGATCTTTCAGTGAGGTCAGCCCGGACACATAATCTGGATCAGGGAGCCCTTGCGGTGGTCTGTGTCTCCTGTCACGGTGAATGCGCGAATATGTGCACTCCAAGTCATGCTCTGTACGATCTGGAGTAAGCCACACGCAAATGGCCCAGATAGCAAGCAAAGGCATAGCTCACCAACACAATAAGTGCATGGTTGGTCTTCGCTACAGCGGTTCTTTCGGGCGCGGCACACTTCACACGCCTGAAGTGCTCTTGGGCGTTTTGGTCTCCCAGCCTTTTGCATTGCGCGAGCAATATAGCTTCGTGTCATAGGTAACAGGCTTCGAGAAATTGGGTTGTAGAACGACGGAAGATCATGCCACCATTTGTTACGCGGGTGGGAAACACTAGAGTAGCCCGAACATCCTTGGCTGAGAGAGTTTTCAGGGAAGAAAGGTGGTGGCTGAAAATAATCGAGAAGTCCTCCCTAGCTTCCTTCATAGTACTTTAGCTGTAAAGTCGTGCCCGGAAATCCGCCTTCGGTTTAGGCGGTCCTGCCCCTTCGGGCATGGTCGCGGGCTGTGCGCGCCGCCGCTTTTGACGGCTATAAGAACCTCGTCTCCTATCTCCCATCCCTCTCATACTCTCTCCTAACCTATTTTTCCCTCCTCTCTTACCTCCGTTCGCCCTGACGCACCCTGTCGTGCTTCACTTCGACACCGCCTAAATTCTCCTCCCTACCGTTTTAGGTCTTCGATCGTCGATTTCCCTCACCGGCTCCCTTAAAATTAGCCTCGTTGTCTAAATTCTCCCCTGCCGCATTAGGCTCCCTTCGATTCTCCTTTCCGGCTCCTTTATAAATCTATCTCGTCTCTTCGAGTGCGCCTTAATTAGCCTCTTAACTCTCGATCTCCGCGGCCTCTTCTACGCTTTCGAGAAGAACCCGTTTCGGCTCTTTTATACGCCTCTCTAATTTCTCTATAGAGTATTTAACTTCGCTAACCGCACATCGTGTAAACTCGGCTAACTCCGCCCGTCATTAATGCCTCGACCAGAATCCTAAGAATATAGTTTTCGGCCTCGGTAAGTCTTCTTGTGCCCACTTACGAAGATGAATCCGAGTAATGGGCTCTCTCTAGCGTTTGTCATAGATCTATAAAGACCCTGCGAGATCATCATCGACAATAGGAAAATCGACGAGTATCTTCCGAAGCGCCGTAGTCGACACTCAACTCTCCAGACTGTATCACCGGGGCTGGGATTTAATATCTCCACTTAGTGGAGTAAGTAAGACATGGAAGGTGGTACTGTTAGGGATTTCTTGGTAAGTAGGCAGAATCTAACGATAAGCGTATATCTAAGTCATCTCTATAGTATATAGGTAATACTGTACACGACTCAAAGCGTAAGAGAGGAAAGAGTGCGCCTCCTATGCGGGGAGTGTGCTAGTAATAAGGAACTCCCTGAGTCGCATCTCTTAGCTGGTGGCCTGATTATTCTCCGATGTATCAGGCGTCTGTCCTTCCGATGTTTAGCCGAATCCGTAACAGGCACGCAGCGGATCTTTTAGCACAGGCCACGCAGCAACACTGAGTGCCGCACCAGGTGCATCTAATTAGGAAAATGCCGCACAAGGTAATCGGCAGTGCGCATATATATAGCTGCCTACGCTCCGCCTCAAAAATGCAACGCTCAGGGGGCTAAGTCTTTCATTTCGGCCCTCAGCGGTTCCGAAGAAAAGAGTTGTAACTGAATTCTTTAACCGCTATCTTATTTAAGCTAAATGATGTACAGCGGTTTCTAAGGGCTTCTTACGAACGGACACTATAAAGAAGAAAAAGTAGAATTAGTAAGATACGATTTCGCTCGGATAGAATCTAGACGTTAATTCTCCATTATAGCCGATCTTAATAGCGAGCGGGCGTATATTTATAAAGTTAGCCGCTAATTTCGAAGAAGACTATAAGGTCGTCGAAGAATAACTAAAGTAAGCTGTCTTAGTTTAGAGAGATATATTCTTAAATCATTAAGACCTAGAAGATTAGGTTAACGCTCCTTATATTATTCTCTTATTCTCGAGTTATCGTCGCTAGAGTTAATCTCACCCTTAGAATAACGATAGCTCCTTATCTCTTATAATATTTCGGTAATATAACTCGCTTTACTTCGTTACTATAATAATCTTTACTCTTCCCGCCTTACGGAATCTAGAAACTCTAATAAAGATATCTTTAGTAGGCTAAAGTTTAAACTTAGTAGTTATAAAAGACTTAGAACCGCGCCTATAAGATAAGAAAAAGCGCGGAGAGCGTTAGATAGTACTAAATATCTACTTAAATAACACCGATTCTCTCGCTATTCTCTACTATTAAACTCATTTTTCTACTTTATATCTCTCTAAATAGAGCACTCTAATTATGGCGACTTTCGTCGCGTACTAATCTCGGAAAAATGTACCGTCTATCGGGAGTCGCGCCTTTAGTAATTCTTTTATAATCGGTCTTCTTAGTTAGATATTAAGCGAATAAAACTTAAAAACTTCTTAATAGACGACGCCTAAGAGTAATACGAATTTCGTCGATTTCGTCGATTTAATTACCTCTGACTAGGACGTCGCTCGAGAATATCTAGTGACGCGAGAAATTTTGGAGCTAACTCGTCATAATCCCGATAAACGCGGCATCCGAGTTACCGGAGCCCGCAGCAGCGCGACCGACGATAATAAGATTAAAGACGGCGAAGAATACGATAATGACAACGATATTAACTACGAAAGCGACGCCAGTAATCTTCCGTCGCTCGCGAATATCTTTTCTCGAAGCGACATCTATTAAGGATTCCTTAGTAAGTAGATAGAATCTAACGATAAGCGTATATATAAGTCATCCCTATAGTATATAGTCGATACTATACACGACTTAAAGCGTAAGAGAGAAAAGAGTGCGCCTCCTATACGAGGAGTGTGCTAGTAATAAGGATGCACTCTCTAAGTCGTATCTCTTAGCTGGTGGTCTAATTATTCTTCGATATATTAGGCGTCCGTTCTTTCGATGTTTAGCCGGATCCGTAACACTATTCTTCTCTTTAAGCTTCTTATCCTTGAGAAGATATTGTAACAGAGCACTTCAGGGTTTGGCGTGCACGTACAACAACGCACAGAGGCCTATCCAGCAGATCGGGAATCGAGAACGCGTTTCTGGTTAATACTGACAAGACAACACCACCAACACCACCCAGAGGGGCAGCGGCTAAAGCTACAAACACCTAGCACAGCGGGAGCATCGACGGACAGGACAGAACTAATAAAAAACACTCAGAAATTAGGTAGACGGCGCTAAAAACCATGAAATTCATGATACTCTACTCAATCTCTAATGAATAGCTCACTACCAGCACTATAAACTATTCTACACCCCCTTCTATCAGCTTATTTAGATTTAATATATAACTAAATAACTTTTTCTCTCTATCACCGCTCTACTAGCTTAGTACGGCCCATTATAGTATAGCTATTTTATCTTATTATATCCCTCTCTCTTTTATTTATAGAACGACCTCGTCCGATAGTATATAGTACACTTAAGAATTATCTAACTCTATTATTATTTAGAGAGTAAGTCCGTAACACTATAAGAAGAAGCTCGTAACGAAGATAGATTCTTCTCTCTTATTAAGTTTAGAATATAAACTAAAACATCATTAATAGATATAATAGATCTACTCGATCTATATAAGAACATTAAAGATACTCTTAATATTTCGCTTTAATAACTACTCTATTTTAGAGTTAAGTTTATTTTTATACTAATATTACTTAGTGATTCTAAGGTTCGCTCTTAGAATTCTCTCTTAACTAACTAAGTAACGCGAGAAAAGAGAGAGTTTACTCTTCGCGTTAAGATTCTATTCTAAGGATTATTACTATTATATTCTAAATCTATTCTCTCTTCGCTATATAGATCGATATAAGCCTATAATATTTAGTTCGTATTCTCTTAGTTAATAAGATTAATAGTTAAAGTAATTATTATAATAAGCTTTAATAACTACTATTCACTAGTTTCTACGCGAAACGATTATAATAATAGTATCTTTTTATCTTTAATAATAGCTTAATAAATATTTTAAATAAGTTAAACTTAATAGGAAGTATCGATTTTAACTTCTTTAATAGCTTTAATATTATTTTTTATAAGAGCTCTAATTTAAAAGATAATAAATATTCCGTAATTATAGTTATTTAGTTATTTATTAATATTAACATTCTAAAATATAAACTATTTATCGTCTTTAAGCTTTACTTAAACTTAAGAGTTAAGATACTCTAAAATAATCGAAATTATTAAGTCTTTTATCGTGCGCTTTCTAATCGAATTTATAGCGTAAACGATTTAAGAATTAAGATCGACGTATATTAACTACTAATAGTTAATCTCTCGATAGAGAATTAGCTTCTTCTATATAAACTTATCTTATCGCTACGATCGCGGCTAAATTATAAACGTAAATATTTCTCGAACGTTATATAGATAGATTATATTTTATTCGTCTTTCACTTAGTACTTTCGGTAGACCGCGATATCTTTAATAACGTAATCTATAAATAATTAATCGTTATAATCCGCATTAAGTAAAAGATATTTTAATTTTTTCTTATCGATTATACACCCTTCTAAGTAGTAATTCTCGCCGCGAAGACGTTTCTTTACTCCGCGACTATACTCTTTAAATTTCTTTAAAGCGTCTTAAATTCGCTAAATTTCTAACGTTCCTTTTTTAGTCTTCACTCTTTCTATGATTCGAATTACTTCGAGAGTAACGTAATACTAAAGAGATTATCTCGAACTAATATTAATCGATAATATCTCGATTAATCTTTAGAATACTCGTATAATAGCTTTAAATCCGTATTAAATTATTTTATTCGCTTATCGTTTCGCTAAAATATCTCTACTTATATTATACTTAACTCTCTTAGACTAGTTTATAATAATCTTCTATATTAGTCTTTCTATATTAAAAGAA